ACATCGTCAACTACCTAGAGAATAACCCCACAGCTGCTGATGGAACACCGTTGCAAAATTTCACGGACCTGCCGTGGCCCATATATCTGTCTTCAATGTCACAAAATGGTACGTTTGGTGACCACATCACGCTTCAGGCCGCATCTGATCTTTACAATGTGGAGTTCCAAGTTCTTTCATCTAATGGACCTGGGTATACAACCACTATTTCTCCAATTGTCGCAAATCCGCTGTGTACTTTCACCTTGGGGCATTTTGCAGAGAACGATGGAGAACACTATGTTTGCTTAGCAGAGGAATATAAGTCGAGTGAAATAGATATTGAGGCTGAGTGTTTCGCAGATCTTCAAAGTGATCCTTCTCCAGTGGTTGGTGCACCTTTGTCATACGACGCAACGCAAGAAACTGATCAAGGTGGCGAGGAAGAACGAAACGAGGAGAACGATGAACATACGTGTGACAAAGAACCAAACCCTGGAAAGGATGATCATGAGCGTGGGAACGGGCTAAATCCTGGAAACGGTGACCACGCTAGTGAAAACAGACCAAACCCTGGAGACGGTGTTCGTGCGTGTCAAAACAAGCCACACCCTGGAAACGGCGATCATACGTGTGAGAACAGGCCACAACTTGAAAACGATGATGATGCGTGTGAAAACAGGCAACACCCTGAAAACGGTAATCATGCGTATGATCAGGGGTTTAATCCCACTAACCAACCAAACGCTCTCTCATCATCAGCAGGGCCGTATTTAAACCCCGACGTTCTGGAAGAAATTATACGACAAATATTACGAATGTATCCTTATACGTGCCCCTCGTTGAGAGCCGTCTCGAGAGTTTTTAAAAATATTGTCGACAGAGAGCCACTACCCCAGGTGTACATCCCAGAACTAAATGACTTTACAGACTTTCGCCGAGTGAGTGTGCGCAAAATTATGCGTTTGAAACGAAAAAATAGCGGTGCTGTCGTTAGGTTACGGGAGATAATTAACTCTGTTCAGTGGGTCAGCGCCTGGCTAAGTTTTATCGCCGCAGGGTACGGATGGTTCTTTATTACACATATCTACTGGAAACAAAAAAGCCACTATTAATGTCCTTTGAGGCTACAACTCGTCCGTTCATATTTTATCACCCTTTCTGTTTTCCTATGTAACAATCGTAATTATCATATTATACGCTATTTCCGATTGCCTCGGGTTTTATACGCTATTTTCGTTAACCATCTTCCATTATATGAGGGAAAAATGTGATGCTGTGAACAGGATTATATTTCTGTCGTATGATAGCCTTGAGTTGCATGGTTTAATGTATTTTATAATCGATTCCTAAATGTTAGCGAAAAAATAAAAAGGTTATTGTTGTGTTGCTTACTTTGAAGATAATAAATGGTGTTCTGGTTCCGTATGTACATAAATAACGTTAAATTAGCCGTACCCTTGCACCCTGAACTAATGTTCAACGAAAATTTCATAGCTACTCATGTGCATGGCTTCGTTTATGACATACAAATTGTATAGTACGTGTTATTTGTTTGTGTAGTCAGGGTAATACTCACACCAGTAGTCACCCATTTCATCTCTAGAAACATTTCCCGAATTTTCAATCTAACTATTCTGTCTTTTGTAGCTTTAGACATCTAACAGAAAATGTGCAATAACTCAAGAGAAGTTAGAGCTACATAATATATTACTTCTGTATTGGGACCTGTATTACGTTCAAATCAGCGGAAACAAACGTCCGATTAGGTTCCCTAAAGATGATTACATCTCCTCATTTCGACTGTTTCATTGTAATATTAGAAATAATAATAATAATAATAATAATATTAACATTAATATTAATAAAAATAATACCTTATAATTTAATTGAAAATCTGGATTCGCTACTGATGACTGAGCAAAAATACCGATTTTGAAATAGCATGCACGTCGTTATTCGGGAACTATTACATTTTGCGTTATTACATTATGCGTTAGAAAAGTTATTACAATTTGTGTTGAAAGATTATTACATTCTGCGTTGAAAATTTTATTACATTTTGCGTTAGTATTACATTTTGCGGCGATTATTACATTTTGCGGCGTAACACCCGTACTTGTGATTGGTCACGTATTGACAGTGACATAATCGGATTAGTTGAGAAAATGGTGGGCGGATTACAAAAACACCGGCTCTTAGAGCAGGCGCTCGATTCCCTTTCCCCTCTTTTGTGCTTTTCTCCCTCTCCCTCCCCCTCCCTTTTTTGCGCCTGCCACGCAGGCTATCATCTACAGTCTTGTATTTATGATGTTCTCATGGCTGTGGTCCGGGAACTCTCCAGTTATTATAATAACTGTTACCCCTATTAAAGAATGCCAATCACTTATTAATGACTTTTGAGAATATTTATTGGTGTTAAAAGGCCCTATGTATTAAGTGGGAAAGTATAAAGTGCCCCATTCCTGTAAGTTGCTTGATACTACTACAACTTTATGGTCGAGTTAATAATTCCAAGAAAATAAAACCAACTAATTGGTGGTTCAAATTCGATTTTTAATGCCTTTGATCTCTTGGCGAGTTTTGTTAGTCCTTGTCTGGTAACCACTCTGGCTGAGATCAAACCCACTTCACACCAATTTATCTGTTATACACAACGTAAATTAAACTTTTCAAGCCAAACGGGAACTTTTTTTTCATTATTTCGACATTCGCACGGCAACAATGAAGAAATTTTGTTACACCATGAAGACGATTGAAATGCGTTACTGTTTTGGGTTGCGCTCCTTTTGACCAATCTAAATCCGGATTTTGCGATCCGAAATTTGATTTTTCGTTGCATCAAGGACTAAACCAATCTAAGATTGCAAACTGAACGATCGACCTCCGTACTTGGACCGTTCAGATAAGTATCTCAATCTGGTTTCAGATTTTTGTTGCATTTAACGAAACTGCTTTTCGATCGCAAGAACTTGCTCGTTCATCAATAATGACGTTAGTTCAGGCAAAAGTTATTTATAATCCTGCTTTGTTCTATGCCGCTAAAGGATTGTGGTATAATATATAGATTTAGCCACGGCTAAAAGCGAAGCTCCCATTGAAAAGTTAAGTGATTTTGGATTGAAACAGATCTTGTATCGAGTTGATATAGCCTTATATGTACACCCAAAAAGATGTACGGTCAAATTTAAGAGCAATAATGGCTCTTGATCACAGTAGGTAAGGCGTGGAAAACAAATCAGGCCGAATTTTTTTGGCGATCGACAAGTTTACAAATTCTTGCCAATAAATCTGGGTGCGTGCAAACCAATCTTTTATTTTTTTTTTTTAATACACCACATCTGAGGAGAAAGAGTACTATGGGGCGCCTGTTTTTATCATACAGACCTCGTACAAAATGCGGTATTTCACAGTTTTACAAGAAAAATTGCATTAATTCAATATTCAGGACCATCGAAGCACGCGTGGTCTTTTAATTAGCGAAACCGTTCAAAAAATTTCCAAAATCACCTATACGGCCAGCCGGTTCTAACTTTTGACAAGCGCCAAATTTGCGAAGAAATTTTAAAAGAGTTACGCTTCAACGTGATAAAGAATTTATTGAGTCTATTTTTTATTCATGGTTTTATAACGATGTGTAACCTTAAGAAGCGTTTGATACGCTCGGCATTTTGAGTACTCCTGCAAGCGATGTTTATGAACGGCTGAAAACAACGGCAAAGCAATGAAAATTACACTTTTGAGACTATCAACAATCAATAAAGAAATATAATTCGGTAGAACATTTACAGAGACAACAATTTTCATTCACGAAAACAAATGAGTATTTTTAAGTGTCTCTAAGAATCCTCAAGTCTTTACTAGTAAGCTTAAAGATAACCTGAGATCAGGCTCTATTTTCGTTTTGCTTTGAAAATTACATTCCGACGGGCAAGACGAAACGAAAAGATTAAGTTTATGTTTTTAGCAGCCGGTTTCCCGGGCCCGTTTGCTGTTTTCAAAGATGAACTCAGGGCAAGACGATCGCTCAAAGCTTTCTTTCTACAGCCAGAATTATAACTAAATATTCTTCGGAAAGTCTTTTCTTTCTATTTACGGTGAATTTATGTCGACTAAAGGCTTTTTAAAGTTCTGTAAGCTTAAGCTTATATCAAACCTCATACTAGGTCAGATCAGTGTCTCAGTTAAATCTTAATACAAACGTGCATAAACTAGCTTCATAAACTGCGCCGCTGGACTTTATGAAATAAGATATGGATACAATAGTTACTCAGCCTTACCATATTTCCAGATGCAGCTCCTGAAAGCTATCAAGTAGGGCAAGGATCGCTTGAGCCTTTATAATTCTCGCACGCATCCAGCAAGGTGAAAAACAAAAACGATGCCATCCGAAATCGGATTATCGGCTTTGACAAGCGACGCATTTCTCAACCAAAAACCCAATAATCAAAATAGCCATGAATAAGAGAACACTCTTGATAGCAGCTGTATTGCTTTTTGTACATCCAGTGGAAAAAGACAGTTAAAAACATCACAAGCTGACTCAAAACTCTGTCAGCTTCAGCTGTATTGATAGCAGCTCTTGATAGCAGCTGTATTGCTTTTTGTACATCCAGTGGAAAAAGACAGTTAAAAACATCACAAGCTGACTCAAAACTCTGTCAGCTTCAGCTGTCAAAGTAAACAACTTTCAAGATGCTGCATAAATTTTACGCATGAACTCACCCGTCAAATTTTAACCAGTCAGAGCACGTGGAGCTTGACCAACACGTGACCATGGTAAGAAAAGGTCTTCCCCGCCTGTATTTTAAAAATCTGGCTGAATTTTTGCGTCTGAGGTCAGTTTGAAATCAAAATCGTAATAGTGCGGGACGATACTGACGTAAACACATCTTAGATATGAATTTTAAAAAAGGTAAACGTGAGCCTGCAATCATTTGTAAACGAATAAATTGTCAGCGGATAACTTCAAAAAAATACTCACCTTGATGGGTCGACACCTGTGCCCGCGATACAGTCAGGTGATACTGGTCAGCAGATACCCTGTTTTGACAGCTGTCAATTTATGACAACATTGATGTGCAATCAGCTTCCTACTGGGCTCCCAAATTAGCTAGAAAGTGTGAGAGTAAACATTGGTATGCCTGTGGTGTGGACGGACGGTCGGGCGCTCGGTCGCTCGGTCGCTCGGTCACGTGATTACCAAATTTTCTGGGATGGGTAGATTACCTTAGGTATGGGGCTCCGCCCAGGTGCGCGCTTCGCGCGCGCGTGGAGCTCCGCTATTAAACTTAAGTTCCACTGTAACTAAATCCGTAAGGAAGCGAAAACGCTTGGATTTTCCTACCGTTTTAAAGTTTTTTTTAATGTGTGTGTGTTTAGAGCCCATTCGGGGCGGGACGGGGGGTACTCCGGAGTTCAAGTAACAGGGATGATCGAATGGGGAAAAAATCAAAACCCGCTAAAATCCCTAGGGCTTCAAACAAAACCCAAAGCACTCCCTGGACCAAACCAGCAAAAAGATCTCGTGCCGAGCCATAAAAATTTCCAGGAAGCGTTAAATGATATAACTATCAGGAATCTTAAGATTGTTTTGAATACCCAAAACAATCCCTACTTTAATCAAGCTGTCCAATAAATACTTGCTAAAATTTTCCTACCCAAACAGATCCCAAAATCAAAGATTTGAAACCGAAAACAATCCTTTGATCATCCCTGTCACTTGAAATCCGGAGTTGTTTGCCGCTGCGGTTTAGAGTGCGCCTCTCAGCACTTGAGAATTTGTTATTGTCTTCTGAATATTCTTAAATCAAATTCCAGATAATTTGAAGTTGACAAGTGGTAACAGCATGAGCAACCACTCGTTAAAGAGCAACGTTTCTTTGCATTTCTCCGCCGTGAAGAGAAGACGCTGAATTTAGGGGAAAGTGTTGGAATTGAGAAGAAGATCAGAGCAGCATGCAGCTGATGTATGGATCAATCCAGTTATTTCAAATGTTTTTTCCGGTTAGCACGAAAATTCAAACAATCTGGATTTTTTTGGACTTGTCCTGTTCGGATATTAGGGTGTGATAGCCAAGATTAGACTATTTTGTTATCGTTTTGAAATTTTGAT